TGTCCTCACCCTTGTCCTCACCCTTGTCCTCATTCACAACATTTGGTGTCTCTGCCTCCAAGGATGAAGATTCCATGGCCGAAGGAATTTGAGGACGGAGATGTGCTGAGCTTCCTGAAGGAGTTCGTAGCTGTGGCGGAACTGGTGGGGGTGAAGGAGCCGAAGGCGAAGACGGTGGTGCTTGGGACGCTGCTTAGAGGCAGAGCGAAAGCTGTATATGACAGCCTGGACGGTGCGGGCGGTAAGACGACATGCTAGGCAGTCACGGAGCGGTTGACCATGGACTTCGATAGCCCAGTGGACAGAGAGGAAGCACTGCAGAAGTTTCGAGTGGCGAAGTTGCCGATCGATGGTGATCCGCTGGTGCTGGCCGTGGAGCTTACCAAGTTTCTGCGTCGCGCGCTGCCAAATCTGGATGAGGAGTCGGAGGCACAGTTGTTGGCGTCTCAGTTTATCGAGAGCGTGCCTGTTGCCGTTTCCCAGCAGCTGAGACTGGTACACGCCGCGCAACCTGTGGATATCAGTGAGCTTGCAAAGGTGACGCGTAAGTTGATGACACAAACAGTAGCTACGGTCGCGTGCGGAAGTCAGGAGATAAGCAGCATTGAGAAGAAGATTGAAGAACTGCAGCACGAGATTGCGGCATTACGAGTGATTCGAAAAAGGAATGATAAGTGTTTCGCATGTGGAGGGACAGGACACTGGAAGATAAACTGTCCAACACGACGAAAACGGAGATATTTTAGACGTTACGTGTTTCCTTCTTACTCTAGGGATCTGGGGGTTGTTGCATTAGTAGATAGAGGGGCAGTCTATGCAAGAGTGAACGTAAATGAACTAGATTTAGTGTGCCTAATCGATACAGGGGCAGCAGTTTCGTTAATAGGTAAAGAGCAATGTAAAAGTTTTAAGCCGTGTAAAGTCGCAGTTCACACCATAGGAGGGCATATGTTAGAGGTATTGGGCGTGTCTAACAGTATCGTAAAAGTGGATGGTTCGGAGATAAGTTTTCCGTTCGTGGTAACCGCAAACCTGTCGAGACCAATATTAGGAGCAGATTTCCTAAGAGAAGTAAAAGCCATAGTTGACCTAAGAAGCGGTAAGGTGGTCACGAAGTACGGTTCATTCTCAATACATGAAAGTAGTGAGGTGGCTGAGGTTAGAGTGGCAACAGCCGTTGTGACGAAGAAACCAAACATAACCGAGTTGTGCAAAAAGTATGCGAAACTGTTTACTGGAGAAGGAGAACCGTATGGATTTTGCGACAAAGTAAAGCACGAAATCCCGATAAAGAACAATGGAGAAAGTATATTCACAACACGTCGTGTCCCTGTGCACTTAGAGGCTGAAGTAAATCGACAGGTCCAAGAGATGCTGAAAGAAGGAATAATTGAGGAGGCGGACAGCCCGTATAGCTCACCGGTACTCTTGGTAAAGAAACCGAATGGGAAATATAGATTTTGTGTTGATTTTAGAGAACTGAATAATATAACAGAACTAAAGCCGTGTGCAATGCCAACAGTAGTGGAAACATTAGATCGGCTGCAGAATGCCACGGTGTCTACAGTGTTGGATTTGCGGTCAGGTTATTGGCAGCTGCCTATAAAAGAGAGCGATCGAAGCAAGACAGCATTTACCATACGTGATAAACAATATCAATTTAGACGAATGCCGTTCGGATTGGCGGGCGCACCTTTTACGTTCAGAAGATTAATGTCGCTACTGCTCAGGGATCTGGATAACGTCGAAGTGTATGGCGACGATGTAGTCGTATACAGCCAGACAGAAACAGATCATGTCAAGCATGTGGAAGCGGTCCTAAAGCGAATTGAAGAATTCGGACTTCGAATTAATAAGGACAAGTCACAGATGGCGAAAAGTAGCATCACGTTGTTGGGGCATAAAGTGGGAAATGGAGAAATAAAACCGCTGCCGGAGAAAATTCTGGCTATAAAGAACGTTGCAGTACCGAATTCGAAAAGGAAATTGGGACAGTTCCTGGGAAGGGCGGCGTTCTACAGTCGGTTCATCAAGAATTTCAACGAAATAGCAGCACCCCTTTATAAGTTGTTGAGTAACACTAAATTTTCGTGAACTGAAACCGCCCAACAAACGTTTAATCAAATCAAAAACATGCTGGACGACCGCCAGATGACGCTCAGACTGCCCGAACTGGAGAAACCGTTTACAGTGACAACAGACGCAAGTGACCATGGTATAGGTGCCGTTTTAAGTCAGTCTGATAGAGTAGTGGAATACGCAAGTCGCGTTCTCACGCCTGCCGAACAGAAGTATTCAACGATCGAAAAGGAGTGTTTAGCGATTGTGTGGGCAGTAGACAAGTGGAGACCATATCTGTTAGGTAAACGATTTCACATCGAGACTGACCATAAACCTCTGCAGTGGCTACAAACAGCACGAGACCCACGTGGGAAGTTGGCGCGATGGATGATACGTCTGCAGGAGTATGACTTCAGTATCGGGCATGTTCCAGGGAAGGAAAATGTAATGGCGGACTATCTGTCAAGAACAGACATGGAAGCCGAGCTTCCATTGACAGCATACGCAGTGAACAGTATAGAGGGAGACCCACTAGAACTCGTCCGGCAACAGAAATCTGATCCTAAACTGCGAGAGGTAATCAGAGTGATAAGAGAGGGGGCAGATTTTGACAAACGAGCAATGGACAAGGAGACAATAATGTTGCTTCGGCAAAAGGAAAGACTGAAAGTGAACACATATGGAGCTCTGGTCTGGCAGGATGATGACAAAAATTGGGTGGCTGTGATCCCGAAAGACTGGCGGCGTAAGATGATACACGAATGCCATCAGGTAGCGCACACTGGTATCGCAAGAACGACAGATTTACTACGGCAAAGTGCATACTGGCCAGGCATGAGAGACGATGTGGCACAATATGTGTTGACGTGCCAGCAGTGCCAATTAATGAAAAGCGATAGATACATGCAACCGCCATTGCAGTCGGTCCCAGTAACCGCAGTTGGTGATCTATGGTCGGTAGATGTGATGGGACCATTTCCACAGACGGATAGCGGCAACCGATACTTACTAGTTATGACGGAACATGCTGCACGATGGGTCGACGCTGTACCGATTGCCGACCAGCGGGCGAAAACAGTGACCGAAGTAATAATCCGGCACATTGTAGCAGGTCATGGTGTACCGAAGATGATACTAACCGACCAGGGTCCCTGTTTTGAAAGTGACGAGTTTAAGGCCCGTTTGAAGCAGTTCGGTATCAAGAGGATACGAACTACACCGTATCACCCTCAGACGAATGGGCTTACGGAAAGAAACAACCGGACATTAAAGGAATGGTTAGCATCTAAAGGAGGGAATTGGGAGAAAGAGTTACCACTAATTTTGCTGGCACATCGTGCCTCCATCCAAGGAACAACTAAGAAATCACCTTTCCTACTTATGTATGGTAGACAGCCACGACTTCCGATGCATAATATGACGTGGCCACAGCAGCAGAAGTGGACGGCAACAAGATTAAGGAAAGAGAGGACGGAGGCAATAAAGAACGTGAAAAAGAAACAAATATCAGACACCAAGAAGGTGGAACAGCAGAGAAGAGCATGGAAGCCTTTTAGAGTGGGGGACCTGGTAAAGTGTAGAGAACGGAGAGCTAACACTGAAGGGGGACCAGGGTCAGGAAAGCTGACCCCGAAATGGGAGAGACCGTACATTATCACGGAGAGACGCGGCCCAGTTTACACGATCCGGAGAGAAGACAAGCAGAAGCGTGTAAATGCCAGTCAACTACAGAGATGGTTTCAGGAACATCATGAGCACGAGTCACGAACAGCACCAAAGGAGACAATGGTACGGCGATCAGAAAGATTGCGAGAACAGCTTATTAAAAGGGGGGACGAGTGTGGTGTGAGCTACTGATATCGATATAAGTAGTATATATGGTGAGTAAGGAATAGAATATCTGACAGCAGAAGATTGAGAAGATCAAGAAGAGAAGAACAGAAATAAAAAGCAATTTGTGTGGAAATCCAGGAACAATGAAGTCTGAGGCAATTGAAGAACATTTTGCAAATAGTGTATCATAGCATGGTTTTTGTATTTTACCAAGTAACGTTGTAATTTGTGCTAAATACATAGTTGGTTGTCCTCACCCGTGTTCTCATTCACAACACTACTTTGTAGCACTTTTTAAATAACTGGTTGTTGTACATGTTTAATTTATTTTTATAACACTTTTTTGTATTTTCTAGCCATGTTTATATGCACTCGTTGTTTAAACTACATAATTCCGCTTTATTTTTGATTTCGAATAAATGATGCACTTTCCAATATTTTCGAAGTTTTCAATCGATTTCTCTCTTACTTTATTCTAAGTTTTACATTGTTCGATTGTATTTTTGAATCCAAACTCCTCCTGATGCTCTTAGATTGTTACGGAGATCCTATTCGTGGATAATGTAGGACGATTTGGAATTCGTTCGGCAACCACATTCCGTAGAAAACAAGGTTGTTAAACAAATGCTGAACAAACAAATAAACCATTTGAACTCTCCCTTCGAGTTGAAGGAAACATTATTACGCCTCATGATGAAAGCGGGGCATCGTCGAAAGTCAATGGGTCGAAGCCCCTCCTAACAGGCAAACCAACATTTAATGTAGGTTCACGGGACAGTGTGTGTAAGATCAGGAGGGTCAATCAGATAGTTGAGGAGATGGGGAGATACAACTTCACGGTGCTATGAATAAATAAAACCTAATGGACCATTGCTGGACAGAAGAGGATAGTTTCGGGAGAGATGCTGCTGGAAAAATACACGACAGACCTAGCAACGACAGCGAAAAAAGCCATGAGAGAAAGAAATATGAAACAACTAAGTGGAACAACGACTAATCACACAGGTAAATATGGTAAAGCGTAACGACCGTTCAACGACAAATAAGGTAAGTCAGTCACTGAGATCCAAAAATGCAGACAGACGCATTACAAGTGAGGAACAGAGACAGATAAGACTGTCTACTCTCTTACTTTCTCTTTCTCCTGATGATTGGCTGGATTATGAGGACGTCGATATTTGAGGGGAATCAGTGATTTTAACGGACAGATCATAATCAAGTAGAAAATTCGAATTCGTAGAAGAACTGGCCCTCCTCTCCCATAAAGACGAACAAATGCAGATGACGATAAGTAATGTAGCAGCAACCTCTGAATCAGTAGGCCTCAACATACACAAAGGAAAAAGTAAGATACTCAATTACAACAAGGAGAACACCAACTCAGTCACACTTGATGGAGAAACTTTGGAAGGTATGGAATCTTCCACGTACCGGGGAAGCATCTTTGAACTTAGGGAATCTGATGGAGACGTAAAGACGAGCAATGACGAAGCAAGGACCGCATTTCTACAATTGAAGAACATATGGAACACAAAACAACGGTCACAATCTTCAATATAAACATCAAGACAGTCCTACTGTACGAAGCTGAAATTTGGAGAACTACTACAACAATCATCAAGAAAGTACAAGTTTTCTACACGTACTACCAAAGATCCTTTGATCAAATAATATCGGTAGCACTCTGTTTTGGGAGAGGACAAACCAACTTCTTTAATCATAAGAATGTGTGAGAGGACGCTGAAGGTGGAGAAAGAATACATTAATGAAGCCATTGAACTGCATCACAAGACATGCCCTAACTTGCTATCCTGAATGAAAGAAAAAAAGCGTCAGGCTGAAGAACAAGTTGCTTTGATAACTGGAGGCAGACATCTGTAGAACATATCGCAATCAGAAGCAACTGGAAAGGAGATGCCAGGACAGGGTTAATTAAAGAATCTCAGTAGTTGAGTTTTGGTCCGCGAGGATTAACAAACGCAAGTAAGCAATTACTCTTCTCCCTTATGGTTGAGTGTCGCTCCTTTAATGAAAATATTATTTTCGATTGTGAGAAGTAGGTTTAAACAAAGTGTATGCCCTTCTTTTAAATAACATGCTTTAGGTGATATTCAATCTATTTTTTGTCAACATGCTTTCTAAAATTACCTCCAGAAAACATATTCACGTTTTTATTCGAAAACTTATCGGGTATTATTGTCCTTTGATCTATATTAGTGGATTGGTTTAACTGAAGAAAGCGGCACACATTCGCTAGATTAAACATCAGAAAAGTGCATTTCTTTACTGTTACTCGGAAAACTAGTTAACACCTCAATCAAAAATTATCGCATCAAGAGTGTAATGATGAATAAATCCTCAAAATAAATAGTTCTTTAGGTCATTTATTTGGTAATGGTCGATGATAGGGTCGATGAAATGTCACTGAATATCGAACAGATCATCGATCCCTGTCAAGGTCAAGGATAGTCAACGCGCACAAGTCAATCGTATGACATGGACTGGCCCACGCGGCAGTGGTTATTCTTTCACTTCTGTACTTCCGTAGTTGTACCTTAACTAATATATTCTTGTAATAACGTCCTTTGTGTTGTACAGTCTCCATAGCATCTATTATCCTTTGATGCGTCGATGGTTCAATCCACGTAAGGGCTAGTCGCGAGGTGTGACTTCAGCGTTAGTTGGTTCGTCACCATTCTCGTCTAACTATAGTAGGCCCCCAATCATTTCGACATAGAAAATCAACGTGGTTGATCTTACACTGGTGAGCAAGACTTCGAATAACGCAACCTATCATTATGTTCTTTTTTATTACATTCTGTACTTATTATTTTCCATTTTTAACTTCGGCTATCTTTATCAGTTTCTGTGAACATTCGTTGCTTCATATCAATGTTGATTAGTATTTCAACTGAAATAATTAGTTCAATCGATAGAACTAACCAATCAACTACGACTACAATCGACTATCGTGGTTCTTTAACAAGGCAACACGTACGCATATCTGTTTACAACTTATCCACTTGTATAACCAATACAGGATAAATTGCCGATTATTAAATTCATCTTTCTGCTTATTCACTGTCAACTAACTGCTATCAAAAACTATCTACTAGAATATTTTACTTTCTTGACCACTGCATGCCTAATTTCCAATTGCTGAGTTCCATCGACGCATCAAAGGATAATAGATGCTATGGAGACTGTACAACACAAAGGACGTTATTACAAGAATATATTAGTTAAGGTACAACTACGGAAGTACAGAAGTGAAAGAATAACCACTGCCGCGTGGGCCAGTCCATGTCATACGATTGACTTGTGCGCGTTGACTATCCTTGACCTTGACAGGGATCGATGATCTGTTCGATATTCAGTGACATTTCATCGACACTACAACCTCCTTACTTGTACTGGAAATACTCGTAGTAGATGTAGTTCGATCAAACATCTGCACCAGATCACGATTGGGTACGTCGTGTTACGCACTTCCCACAATAACTAGTCACCTGAGTTTATATACATATCGAGGCATTGCCATCTATAGAGTATATCTTAGAACCTCTTTATCCTTGACTTCTGTTTTGATTGGTGTCAGAATCCTCGGTTATAAAAGTGTGTAGTGGTAAATAAATCTCCAAAATCAATAGCTTTGTAAGTGTTCGACATTGGATGCCGACCACATTAGTTTTAATGGGCTCATTTAACTGAAGGCCCTAGGTCATGCATTCGTACCAGATCATGGCTTGGGACGGCATGCGCAACGTCTCCTGCGATCACTAGCCAGATTAGATCAGTCACTCCTCCATAAATCGGTAACCCATCAAATATATCTACGAACCTCCTCCATTTTCACTTTTGATTTTACTGGGTGGGCGTGATTAAATTATAGGTGTTACTGGTAAAGTGGTTTAAAACTACAATACCTGTAGTAATTTCAAGATTTATGGACTACAGCTTTGTCAATTATAAAATATATTTGATATCTTTAATGATACGGGTTGATTAATATGAAAGAAAAGTATATTTGAATATAGACGGTGATAGATGGATGATACATTAACGAACTAGCGATATGGATTAAGTGAAGTATCTCTTGTGGGGTGTCACCAGACATCACCACACTAAGTAAACAAACGTCTTCAGTTTGGAGTGTACGTTAAAATTGACGGGGTAACTATGAGAGCTGAATCTTTATTGGAGTTATTAACTACGGTTTCTCCATGAATGATTTTAAAATATCTGAATTATAATGTTCATTCATAATGGATAGTCAGCAATTATACATTATTCTACAGAATGATCCCAAAGTAATTGTGAGGCTACTGAGGCATATGTTGAGACCTACTTAAATATATTCAGACTATTTAAAATCCATAATTTACCAACTTCACTTTAACAAGACCTTTTGTTTTTTTGCATTTTGTGTTGTAGAGCGGGTTGTCAAGGACGAACCGGTGATGACGTTCGTCACAAGTTCAGGTTCGTTATATTAATCTTCCCAAAACTGTCAGTGTGTATTAAGACAATTAAACGAAGGTGTGAAAAAATAAATTTCTCAGTGTTTTAGTGCGTGAATTTCGTTGAATGTACTACGCTCCCAAAACAGCTTTCGATTCTGTACTTGGCAACCAGGAACAATGTTGCCTACGGGTTGCACATAACAGTCAGCGACATTTTAAGCCTTCGAGAGTATTCATATCTCTTTCTAAGGGGACTTTTGTATACTACCAAATCAAAAATATCGCATGATGCAACTGATAAAATGGATATACATCCTAACATTGTTAACTGAGTTACTGGCACGAAATACAATTATTGGGGAAAAACCATTATAGGATCAAACATCAAAAAATATGTAAATATATCCTTTGAATATATAATTGCATAAGTTTGTAATGGTCGAAGTGGCTTGGTTTTTCGCAACCAAAGGCACTGTATTTTTGTCAAACAATAAAACTAAAAGCTAGTAGGACGGCTGCTTGGACCAGTCAATTCGCCTTACTTCGGCATTCAGTAACCATATAGTCATTTCATCCTTTGATCACCCCGACCATAAGTTCTTCCATTTTACGTTAGCTAGCATTCAATATAAAGGTATTCGGCATCTTTTAGACAGCGTTTCGCTGTTTCTAAGATATAAGTGTCTTAATCACGACATCCTACACTTATTTCTCAGAGTGCCCACAGATCTTCAGTCGATCTTGAATACACTTCCTCTCAGCCTTCGGTGTATATTCAAAGGTGAATTCACAAGTCAATCTAGGCTAGACCACTATTGAAAATCTGATAGTACTATACGGACGTTTTGGATTAAGCAGTGTCCATCCACGGTCGTTCAGCGCTCTCAGGTTTCAATTGTAGTCTACCTTAAAATGACTCGTAAATTGATCCTTAAGAATACGACAATCCACAAATTCCCGTAATTCACAATGGTGTGTATGTCAACTCGTCTGTTGGTTTCGTATACTTTGGAGCATTTTTAAAAGTCTTTAGGTTGACTTAGTGTTTGTATTAGTAATTTGGTTGCATAGCTAAGAATTTTAATTAATGAAATATCCAAAATAGGTCAGAAATATCTTTCTATAAGCGCTACGGTCATAGTGGCTTTGTCGGCCATTTATGTTAAGCCTCTGCATCGAGGTAACAGATACAGTCAGAAGTTGTCCCATCGGTGGTTCAGAAAAGTTTCTTTCGGTTGAAGGAGCTCCTTCAATGCTTATGAAGTATCTAATTTAGAAGTGCATCAAGATAACATGTTTTCTCAGGGACCTATTTTGTCATAGCTTCTGACCTAGATGTTCCCCAAATCTCTAAAACGGCGTTAAGTAATGCTGTCCTTTCAAGACGAGATGGTGCTTGTTGTAAGCTTAGGATTGGGGTTTTCTAGCTCCCCTAGGTGTCCCCCCGTACCCAAGAAACCAGCTTAAGCACCACATTTCGGTCTTCTTTTTTATCATTATAAAAACATTGCCACTTGAAGAAAACCAGTGGGTTTTACACAGTCAGAGATTATAAATATATTGATGTATTAAAGCATACCGAAAGCCGTTTTAGGGCATTCAAGAGGTACACTAGTAATGGAGCTTACGACGACTTCTGAATAATTTTTAAAATAGTATTGCAGTGGATAAACAACCTTTCATCTCGTTGTTAGGACTTGCTGAAAAATGCTCCCCCTGAATGCTACTTATTCAAGAACTGACTTCCCTCAAATTTCGGGAGTAAGACAAAAATGTTGTAAAGTACTTATCACATTTTGTTGTAGTTTTTTAAGACTCATATGACTATACTCCGTGAATGAGAATACTGAATCAATTTAATTTTTACCACATTGAGGGATGTACTTCTGCTAATTAATATCTACTTGTCAGTCAGTTACACACAATTTAGAACCTGCTACTAATGTACATCAGTTCAAGTTATTACATCCCATTAGCAAACCGAGATGAAATTGTCAAAACAAATGCCAGAATAATACAGACATTATCAGTATCAGTAGTGATGTAAACGAATTGGCATCAGCGATATGATTCGCGAAGAAAATATTTACTGATATATAATCATAGTCTTAACCATGATATTTTTAAAAACATCCAACCCTGTTAATCTTTGCAAAAAATTGTTTTAAAGATAATAGTTATTTGTACTTTTAGGTAACATTGTTGATAGGCAACCATGGGGTATACGTTACTTTAAACAATTACTGCTCAATCTTTTCAACATCATTTGTCTGTTGTAAGTCGATATTTTATCATATATTCACCTACTCTTTCAGTATTCAGACACTCTTACCTTTAGACGTAAGTTCCTATCATTAAAAGTGACAGGCTACTTGTAGCTTTTTCGCCAGAAAACATCTAATCAAAGAAATTCATGGGATGGAAGGTTAGTCATCCAAATTCTTGTTGACAAACTTATGGTGTTATAGACCACCTCGGCCACCTGGACGTTTTGGTGGATTCGGAGGCTGTAGAGGTAATGATCTACCTAGCATTTCTATCAGGTTTATATTAAACTCCCTAATATCATATCCTATAGCCCTCATTTCAGTCAGTCGTCTACAACTCAGGACCAGGCACATATAAATTGGTCTAAGTTATTATTTTTTATTTATTTAAACACATAAATATTGGTACAATGAAGCACCAGATAAATATGCGCCTCACAAATCTCATTCGATTTGTGTGAGGGCTGTGATACTGCCCAGGTGCCCAAACTGAAGCAGGTGGTTTTCTTAGGGGGCCACACCCGGAGCCTTTGACCAAAAGGTCTGATCCACAAGGCAGTGGAACATCGTAAGGAGATGCAATCCCATGGTAACCGTTGACCAATGACAGGTTCCTCCGCCATTCGTTCCATCAGGATACTGGAGCCCATGTGCACCATTGGTTTGTAATGAGGGTTTTCCAACTCCCCTAGGTGGACCCTCCGTGTCCATCAACCCGGTTAAAGCGCCGGACATTCGCTTTTCGTCCTCTCACTTTCGTCTAAGTTGCCATACCTCATTAGCACAACAAGATGAACACCAAATTCATAGTATTTACTTCAATGGTAGTAATATATACAAGCAAAGATTGCATATAAGGATACGATACAGGAAAAAAGAATTAATTCGTAAAAAGGAAGGTATAAAGTCATTTTAATCTCATTATTTAAAGGAAGACAAACAGTGTATACACCTACGCCAATTTGATCGATTTTGAGCCATGTCACCTAAAGTCTCCGGCCACGATGGTCGCAGGAACCCTAGCCAAGTAGTCTGTATCTATCAACATAGCTCAGACTAGATTTTATTTATTTATTTAAACACATACATATTGATACAAAAGGGCACCAGATACATATGCTCAGACTAGAAGTTAGTAACATTATGGACTGATGCCACGTTTTTGTTTGACAGCCTCTAACTTGTTTCTATCCATCTCTAACACTAGTCATCATTGCGCCGTGGTAATCGGTGGTTAGGCATGCCTAATACATGACCCAACCATCTCAGTCGATGTGGATTCATAATCTCAACCGACTTATCATCATCTCCTTATGCCCTACGTCTAACCTCACCATTACTTATCTCGTTATCTCAGCGAACGCGAACAATATTTCTAAGACATCTGTGATCAAATACTAGTAACTTACAAATATCTCTTAATGGCTGCGTTTCGCAGACTTAAAGTAGAACAGAATGAACTGCCGTTCTGTATACCCTCCTTTGGACGTAACTTGACTCTTACGCTTCTAAAAACATGTAGTGCGTGGCTGTCGAGAAATATGACTATAGTCATTTTTCTCACTAAAAGAGTCTGAGATGGTTTTTGTACCTCATTAACAACGCGTAGTAGAGTAACTTTGGTTGTCTTAGCAAGGAATACTTGTGAAATTGTATGTTATTAATTCGTGCTACGAACTCTCACAGTATCATTTAACAAAAGTCAGTTATCCCAAGTTTAAGCGGTAACGTAGGATGCACAAAACTGTTGTGTTGCTCACAAAATCCACGTATGTCTGAACACCGATTACCACGACGCGCTATGTTGACTAGTGTTGAGGATGGTTGGAAGAGAGTTAGGGGCGGCTAGACCAAAACGTGACATCAGTCCTTGAAGTCACTAACTTCTAGTCTAAGTCACGTTGGTAGATGCGGACTACTTGTTTGCGATCCGCTTGGCTATCATAATCAATGGTTGCGGACTCTAGGTGACATGCCTCAGAATCGATCACAATGGCGCAGGTGTATACACTCTTTATCTTCCTTTAAACCTTGAGATTGAAATCGCTTCAGATCTGTCTTCCTGTACTATATCCTTATATATAACCTTTCTTTTATATATTACCACCTTTAAATTAACTACTATGAATTCAGTGTTCATCTTGTTGTGCTAACGATATATAGCAACCTGGACCGATGCATATGTGTGCCCGGTCTTACGTTGTAGCTGACTGACTGACTGAAAATCCACAGTATAGTTTCTGCTATGTCTAGGGTTTAGGTAAAAGGTCACTTCAGATAGTAAATTGTTTTCTTGTATATAGTATAGCTGACAACTTACTGAAATGTGAGCTGTAAGTACTATGAATCAAAATCGGTCAGATACTCTATTTCCACTTTCCTAAAACACCAAGAAGCAACCAGCCAGTACAATGCTGAAAAATGTCAAAATATTAGTTCGATAAGAAAACTCGTTAATTAGGACACTTATCTTTTGATCAGTGAATAGGATAAATTAAGAGCAGTTATAGTAACCTAAGTGGGCCTTTTTACCTATATTCGAGCTGTTTGACACGTAGATTTCTCCTTCAATTCCTTGCATGCATATTTTTTCTAGTTCATATAATCATTTTTACTTTTTTGTTCATTTTGTTGAGTTCCTGTCAACTTATTTATGTATTTGAGCACATAAACATTGATACAAGGGGGCTTTACATACATATGCACCACACAGCCCCCAAATGCCCTGGTACGGCCAAGAGTGGGAAGAGTCCGCTCTCCCTCTCGAAATGCTCTCACATGGCCGCGCGTATATAGCCCCTGCCAGGAAAGTCCTACTCACTGCCTTCTCGTGGCGGGGGTGTTGTTTACGAAAGTGAGAGGACGAAAAGCGAATGTCCGGCGCTATAACAGGGTTGGTGTATATGAAGGATCCACCTAGGGGAGTTGGAAAACCCTGATACCAAACCAATGGTGCACATGGGCTCCAGTATCCTGAAGGAAGGAATGGCGAATGAACCAGTTATTGGTCACCGGCTACTGCATCTCCTCACGATGCTCCACTGCCTTGTGGGTTAGACCTCTAGGTCAAAGGCCCGGGGTGTGGCCCCCTAAGAAAACCACCTGCTTCGGTTTGGGCACCCGGGCAGTATCACAGCCCTCTCGCAAATAAATGAAATGGAACATTCAACTGACAATTATATTCTCGTTCATACTAGAAACAAATCAATTTGCATTATTATTATTATTATTATTATTATTATTATTATTATTATTATTATTATTATTATTATTATTATTATTATTATTATTATTTACCATATCGCTAATTCACCCCCTTTTATCCTCAATTTGTGTAACCTTACTTTTCAACTTATGTAGCAGCTCACTCTTGGTGGAAAATATGTCCTATCTAAACGATCTCCAGTCACTGTCTGGTTGAAAATGAATGCTTCCACCGATTATGAATACTGAAGCAGTCTTTCTGAAACCACGTACGCCGTTCAAGCTGGCTTCCTTCAACGTTCGCACACTAATGCAGATCAGACAACAGATAGGGCTGACTATGTCTTTGGAAGGTCTTAATGTTGACGTTTGTTGTCTATCCGAGACCCGTATTCAAGACTCTAGTGAAGTACTACAAATCCGCTCTCCATCTGTCGCCTCGAAAAGCTTGTTTCACTTGCGCTTATCCGGGGACCCTGTGTCATCTTCGTCTGGTCTTGCTGGTGTTGGTGTTGCACTAAGCGCTAGGGCTGAGTCAGCACTAATCGATTGGATCCCCATTAACAGTCGGTTATGTGCTGTTAGATTAGAAAGTTTCATCAAAGTGAGAAGAAATCAGCGCGAGAAACGGTGTCTTTTCGTCATCACCGCCTATGCCCCGACAGATTGCAGCTCGGACGCAATCAAGGATGAGTTTTACCATCAGTTAACAGTTCTTCTCCAGAAAGCGTGTTCGACAGATATTGTAGTATTAGCCGGAGACTTGAATGCTCAGGTCGGGCGTCTAGGCATAGAAGAGAGTCGTTTAGGTGGCCAATGGGGACTTGTTGGTTGCAGGACAGATAACGGAGACCGTTTGCTGCAACTGTGCACAGACCACAACCTGTTTCTGGCTTGCACTAACTTCCGGCACAGTCATCACCGGTGTGCCATCTGGCGTCCTCCCTCTGCATCCCAAGCCTGGACTCAGATTGATCACATCGCGATCAGCTACCGCTGGCGTGGTTGTGTACAAGACTGCCGCTCCTTTTGGAGTACCTATCTGGAGTCTAATCATGCCCTGGTCTGCGCCAATCTCACCTTACTTTTCATTGGCCGATGGATTGACCGCCATCAACGGATCGATGTTAGTAAACTGGCTGCAACATCTGTTGCAAGTAAGTGTCGAGCGGAGCCAGCTTCTAGGCTATCTACCATCCCACCGAAAATTATAGGTGAGTATTAGTTGCGTCTTCACGGCGCCATGAAAATGGCGAGTAAAGCCGCTTGCGGCTTCGCGAAACCTCCCGCTTACAAGCACTGGGTTTCTTCTGACTCCTTACAACTGATGGAAGCCCGTCGGTCTACTCCAGGTGACCTTGAGTATGACCACAAACGAAGGCTGCTACGAAATAATATTGGGCAAAGCTTACGTAAGTACTGAGAAGCAGGCTAATGAGCTGGAAGCAGCAGCTGCATCTGGTAACTGCCGGAAGCTCTTCCAACTCATCCGAGCCACTGGCAGCAAGAAGTCTGGTGTGAATGAAACAATCTACGAGGATGACGGGATGCCAATCACTAACATCTCTCGACGTCTTGGACGATGGGCTGAATTTTTCGAAGGCAGTTCAACTAGCCTGCCTTTCCGGCAACATCAACCAGTTTGTCCTGCCCCCCATGGCCAGTGACGACTGATCCACCAAACAAGGCGGAAGTCCGCAAGGAACTCCAACTCTTGAAACGTTACAAATCACCTGGCCCAGATGACTTACCTCCGGCTCTTTTTAGAGATGGTGGTGACTTTCTGGCTAAGGAACTGACGGTGTTGTTTGCAAAGGTTTGGGAGCAAGAAAGTGTTTCAACATCATAGAATGAGTCGATAGTCGTCCCTATCTTTAAAAAGGGTTCACGTTGTTCCTGCGATAACTATCGGGGGATAAGTCTTCTTCCGATTGCGTCCAAACTATTGGCTTCTGTCATTCTTCGTAGGTTGCTTAAAACCCGAGAACGATTGACTCGCGAGGAGCAGGCTGGTTTTCGTTCTGGTCGAGGATGTATTGATCATATCTCCACCCTCCGCCAAATGTTAGAACACCGTCATACTTATCGCAGGCCAACAATCGTAGTGTTTCTTGATATCAGGGCGGCCTTCGATTCGTTGAACAGGACTGTTCTCTGAGATTGTCTATTGAAGAAGGGTGTGCCTGAGAAGTTCATTAACATCTTAAAGGCCGTGTATACGAACACCTCAGGCAGAGTGAGGGCATACAACCACCTTTCTCCCTTGTTTCATTCGAGCAGTGGGGTTAGACAGGGTTGCCCAATCTCACCATTCTTCTTCAACTTTGCCATCGACGACATCCTGGAAACAGCTCTGATGGATTTAAGTAATGGCGGTGTGGATATGTTGCCTGGAGAAAGACTTCTCGACCATGAGTATGCGGATGATATTGTCTTACTGTGTGATAATGCCCAAGACATGCAATCCGCACTTCATCAGTTGGCAATCAGTGTCCGCAGGTACGGTATGTGCTTGGCATCCTCCAAGTGCAAGGTATTCCTACAAGACTGGCAGGATTCTCATCCTGTACTCACCCTAGATGGTGAGCAGATTGAAGTAGTTGAGAAGTTCGTGTATCTAGGTAGCTATATAAGTGCTGGTGGTGGCTTGAGTGATGAGATTGATGCACGTATAAGGAAAGCCAGAGCGGCTTATGTCAATCTGGGCCATCTTTGGTGCCTTCGTGATGTTAGTCTGGCTGTAAAAGGTCGGATCTACAATGCGTCAGTGAGAGCAGTTTTGCTCTATGCTTGTGAAACCTGGCCTCTCCGAGTTGAGGATGTTAGACGTCTCTCTGTGTTCGATCATCGTTGTCTCCGAAGGATTGCTGACATCCAGTGGCAATACCATGTTAGTAATGCAGAGGTTCGGCACCGTGTGTTTGGACACAGAGACAATAATTCAATTGGTGTCACCATCTTGAAACACCGACTTCGGTGGTTTGGACATGTTTTACGAATGTCGTCCCAGAGACTTCCACGTCGTGCATTATTTGCCGACTCTGGGACTGGTTGGAGAAAGCGGAGAGGAGGTCAGTGTATGACATGGTGTCGTGGAATGAAAGAGAGCTGCAAAGGGCTAGCTTCTGTTGGTCCTTCACGACTCCCTGGCTGGAGTTCGAGAGATGGTGCAACACAGTGGCTAGAGACGTTATCAGTTATGGCTCAGAATAGAAGCCAGTGGCGATCCTGCTGTAACCTTCTTCTACTTTCTTCATAAAGAGTGGCTATAACTTTCCTAAATGAGAGAGCTCTTCTGGTTGTACATTTCAGTTCCCTCCTCTTTTATATATACGCATCTTCTTCCTTCTCCTCCCGTTCTCATTGTTTTGTGTGGCGCATATGTATCCGGTGCCCTTTGTACCAATATATGCGTGATTAAATAAATAAATAATAAATAAATGCACCACACAATGCGACCAGTAGTAATCATTAATTTGTGTCAGGGCTGTGATCCTGCTCGGGTGCCCAATGTCAATGTACTAATAGAAAATATGACACCTCAAATTGGAACGTGTCGCACTAGGCTGTATGTTCTGTTTTCCATTCGTTCAAATTCCACTCCACTTGAGGAAGCATAGACAGTTACAGCGAGTGGCTCTCTCACAACATATGTAGTTTTTTTCCTTACTACATCAATCTGTAAGTAAAGTACGTTGTGTTTTTTTCATTGACGTAGTTTATACTAAATACTGAAATTTAGTAGACTTCATGATATTTTTAAGGGTTGTACAGAAGTTTCCTATTGATTTTTCCAGCCCAAAATCGATTGGGCTTCATTAGCGTTCGGACTTTTTGTAAGTACTCTTCAATGTTAACTAATCTGGGTTGTATTTGATTGTGGTTATCTATGGAATCCACTCTAAGCTCGTTACCTCTACAATAACCTTTGTTTAGTGGATTAAAACATCTGATCGGTCCTTACCGGTTAATTAATTCATTGACGTAATCAGCCATTTAAAGTGCATTCGTTTGTTTTCTTTTTTAAAGTTAGTATTTTCCTCCATTTTTCGTTTTAGGTGCTCCAAGTGCTCCACCAATGGCTGGTGGAGGATGAGGTTAAACAGTCTTTGGAATTAATAGTTGTCAATTGCAAATTCCAAAGACTGTGAATCAAATAATTTGTTTTCGAACCTTTAAATTCTATTTTGGTATATGACGGTTGTTTGGAAAATCTCGTCTGCAGATCTAGACAACTTGATGACCAACATTAGTTTCTTTGTAAAAATCCTTATCAATCAATCTAATTTTTATTTTTACAATAAACATCGCTTCTTTATTTTCCAAAAACTTACGTATTTCGTGTTTTTTTTCACGGTTGATTCATTACTAATGCAAAATAATATATTTTATCAGGGAAATTATTAGTTTCTTAACTGATTGGTAAATTGCAGTTTACTATTCAAAATCTCGTTGATTTCAGAAGAATAATAGTCTTATTTTCGATTCAGTTGATGTACTTTGTTCGACTTGAGCTGGTAAAGAAATACACTTGTATGTAGCGCTAGTTTCGAATCGATTTGATATCTATCACTGACTGGTATATTAGGTATCATTTTAGTTTGTCGATTTTGGAGGTCGAAGCAATAGATTTTCAATTCGCAGGTTCTGTGTTCAACACACTTTTGGCTATCTTTGTGGCATCTGTAACTCATGTAAATCGATTATGCCTCTGAAGCTAAGCAAATAAATATGTGCTTGGTAAGTCACGATTCACGGAAACTGGATCGACTCAAAATATTGAAGACCTGCTTCAGTCTGGGCACCTGGGCAGTATCACAGCCCTCTCACAAATCGAATGAGATTTGTGAGGCGCATATTTATCTGGTGCTTCCTTGTACCAATATTTATGTGTTTAAATAAAATAAAATATTGAAGAATTATAGTTTCTTATTTGGAAATATAGGATGACATTTCATTGTAGTCGGTAAATCACACTGGTATTTTGTGATTGTTTATCACACAGGCGTCCTTTATGTAAAACAATAGACCTCAATCAATTTGTCTGGTTTCTAAATTTATTTGTTTTAAACAGTTACAGTGGTAGACATTCAGTTAGTCATTCACGGAAATTCTGAACAGTAGATATGAAATCACCAAATTTTCGTTCTTTGTACCCCTCGCGTACCATATAATGGCTATACGCTGCTACTTCCAGACAAACTACTATTATGAAATTCAGTAAACGGTATATTTTTAATTAAAACTAAGAAATTAAGTCGTACTGTGCAATTATTGTTTTAATAAATCACCAGTTACTGTTTCAAACTTACCAAATATTTTTCTTTCGAAACATGATACTCATAGGACCGTTAAAGAAATAGAGTAGGTTAATACAAAACGCCGAATAAAATACTCAAGAATGACACAATAAGGCAAGAATAAATAGCTAGGTAGTTTGTCTCTACAAAGCAAAAATCGTTCCAATACACAAGGGTTAGTAAGTAACTGGATTGTTTTTCCTACTACTTACCTGTATCAGGTGGGGTGTAATCAAGTCAGATAAAACCTAGTAATAAGGAGACATAGAATAGATTCAGTCACTTTACACGACGTTTCGCAAGTCGATACGTATTTTCTTAATTATGATTAAAATTAATTGGGATATATAGTCTAGATTAATGGCGCTCACACTGGTATCGCCTTCAACTGTATCTTCTATTAGATCATTAGCTCCAACTACTATTATTATTTTTCCTTATTGATACTGATGTTTTACTTAGATACATATGCATATCAGATATTTAAATGTCTTATATATCTGAGAGTACTTCACGGTCAACTGACATTTAGATAATTAATAATTAGCGTTAGATTAGGTTTTTCCCCATAACTTATCAGAGGAAGTTTGAATGTCCAATCATTTTTACACTGTTTAAATGAAAATAAAAGACAACAATGTTTAGTGACTGGAGTCACACTGTAGATTTATTGGTAAGCAATTTCATTTGCCCATAGATTTCACAACATCCAATATACTTGGTGCGAAAATGTTGTGGAAGGAATATTTCCGAGCATCTGGTAATTTCCATTTTTGTTATTAATTTTTGAAGCCCTCATCTAAAAGTACGTGATAAGTACACGATTGCTGATTTAAACTGTTAGTTTGTTTCGTTCAACCTCGCTTTGGAATTATGGGACAACAAAGGAACGTGACAGGATCGCTAATGCATTTGAAAGATAATATCGTTTACCAATTATTGGTTTATATACTTGGCAACTAGCTACAAAATTGCACGAATGTAATCTAGTATTCTATAAATAATTGTGTGTTGCTATTAATTTGGAAACCCGATAAAATACTCAGAAATTATATGACCATTGTAATCTTGTAGTTATTCATGTTATTTTCTTATTTAAGCCAAATTTTGTATTAGCAATATTATTTATATCAATTATTTGCATTGCGATTAGTCAGAAAGTAAGCGCTCAATCCATTGAACGATGCAAATGTTATCACTTTTACCTTATATCAAGCTTATTTTAATTCAGAATTGGGTTTTAAGATATTTTCTCTTTCGAAAACATTGAATACTGTCTAAATCGTTATTTGAATTTAAATCAATTTAAAAAAATTTGTTGAAATAACTGATTGTAAAAGAATATTATTAATTGGTGTTTTCATCAGAATACTATTTTTTAAAAAAAATTATGAACCAAATTTTTTAAAATAAGCTTTTCCATTATCGTTGTTCATCATGCACCCCTAAAATGCGTTATAATCTGGATCAAAAATTAGTTCTAACAAGAAATCCCTTGAAATGTAGCTTGTAGACCAAACGTTGACCATTATCAACGTAGAGACCACTCTTTGATCCGTTTCTTCGTCCAGATAATCGTGGTGGAATATATCGATTATGATATGAACTCGATCCATCTTCATTCACAGTTATGTATGTACGCTGACCATTTTCACTGGAGAGACCACTCTTTAAACCGTATCTTCGTCCAGATAATTGTGGTGGGAAATATTGATGGTGATGTGAATTCGGTCCACTTGCATTCACAGTTATGTATATACGTTGACCATTGTCACCGGAGAGATCCGTTTCTTCGTCCAGATAATTGTGGTGGAAAATTACTATGCTGTACATGTTGATAATGATGTGAATTTAGTTCACTTGCATTTAACGTTATGTATATACGTGGACCATTCTCACCGAAGAGACCATGTTCAAATAATATTTGATTGTATTTTTTGTATATTTTAGTCATGTTTATATGCACTTGTTGGTTGAACTGCATAATGCTACTTGATTTTTGATTTCGAATAATTGATGCACTTTTAATATTTTCGAAGTTTTCAATCGATTTCGCTTTTACTTACATTAAAGCCTTAGATATACGAAAACGGAAACATTCTTTATATGTTCAAAAACAATTAGTTCTTACTCTTTACCTATCCTGGTAATACTGATTTGTTATCCAGTGTGGTGTTTACATAGTTTTCGTCCACTTTATTATTATTATTATCTTTGTTTACCTTCCAATTTGTCGACTTGACCTTTTATTTTTCAAATAAAATATCGTAACAAGTACATGTGTGGTCAGATTGTTAGAAATGTATTGGGAAAATATAGGACATAATTTTGATAACTTTCATCTTCTCATCTCATCGTCGAAACATATTTCTACCGATCATGAATCTCGTAATTTCATTTAAAGTGTAGGCTGATTCAAGTTAATATTGCACATGAGTCATTTAAACATTGATAATTGTAATCAGAAGGGGTTTTGTGGAGATTTAGTATTTTCATAGTTGAAAGCTTCAGTCCACTGAAGCTAGACCACCCACAATAGGACGAAACGGCCGTCCAGTACTTTCAGGTTTTCTTTGGTGCTCTAGCTTCAATTGACTCACACTTTCAACTATTGATAACTGTATTTCATTATTGTAAATAATATATATATATATATATATATATATATATATATATATATATATATATATGTTAGTGTAGAGCCATGATGAAAAACTGATTGAAAAGAAATTTCTTCGCTCGATTCGTTCCTTTTTATTTATCAAATGTCAAAATGGGAATTTTCATTGTATTTTATTTGACAATCTTGAATTCCCATCCTATAACTGAAAACTACATAGTTTGCCTTAAATATGATAATAATTGCTTCAAAGTACAAACTGCGTTTCAATAGTTTTAACGATATTGTATGATTCAGTGCAATGCCAATTTGTACATTATGTATGATTTTGTTAACGCCTAAAGAACACTTTTATCTATATATGAAAATGTAACATTCAATACTATAAAAGTCAACTAAACTTTCAAATATAAGTGATAATTTAGTTGAATGCCTAGATTTTCTAGCTTCATCAGTATACTGTTTGTTGGCACCTTAACAAATGCTTTGCTGAAGTCTATGTTGACAAAATCTACTGATTTTCAGCTGTACAGAGCCTCCATCCATTTCATTTTACTACAAAAAAATTTGTTTTGCGAGAGAAACCCTTTCTGAAGCCATGTTGTTCTCTATTTAACAGATTGTTGGCTTTCACAAATGTCAATATGATCTTTTTGACTATTCTTTCCAATATTTTAACCGCGACACTTGTGAAGCTGACATGTCTCTATTTCGATGGAAGTTGTCTTGGTCCTGTTTTATGAATTGAAGTGACAATTTCATTCTTCCAGCCGGTAGGTAATACACCATGGTCAAGTGACATATTGAATATCACAATTAGTGTGGCTGCAATGTACCGTTCAATTTGTCTCAGGATTCAGGGATGTAGTTCATTCGGTCATGTTGACTTTTTAGTGTCGAAGGTGCTAGGAGCCTTAAGTACATCATCTCGATCAAAGTCCACGGTAAGCAGACGGTCTGTTGACTTGGTATTTGATTTCAGTTTTTCATCTAGAAGGAACTCCTGAGTGATAAATGACCCCAAGTAGTTTGCCGTAGCCTCTGCTTTCTCCTGATCAGCCTCTATCGTTTCAGATCTATTTCCTTCCTTAAGTAGGTTGAGAATCCAATGCTACATCCTTGTTCTGTAATTTATATACGAGAATCGTCTCTTAGATTTCTTGATTGGAGATTCGGCTAAATGCATTTCATATTTTTCCTGAGCTTCTTGGATTTTAATTATACACTTACTTCTTAACAACCTGTAGCGTTCCATCGTACTTGCTGTGCGAGGGCTCGTGTCAACGTTCCAACATTTCTTCCTTTGTTTTAGTATAAGTCGAATATCCTGACCCATCCAGGAATGGCCGTGCCTCTTCTTCTTCGAGACTATACAGGGTATGATTGGTTGGGTTACTTGATTATATAACTTCCGAAAATGAGTCCACGCCTCTCCTGCTGATGCCCCTGAGCCAATTATTCAGTTTTCAATTGAGGCCGCAGAGTTGATCCCCTTGTGGTGGACCAAAACGTATGATAACAAAAATTAGCAACAAAATATTACGTCTAAAGTTTATATAACAATTAACAGTTAATAAGTTAATTACACACAGATAAAGAAAATAAGGGACGTTACTTAACTCTTCAGGCTATTGCGTGTTCAGTTGAGTTTGGTCTAAATAATCCACAATTATAAAAGATTAGTAATCCCAATATGGCCGATATAGATCCAATAGGTTTACCAAGCGTAGAATTCAATAAGAATGTCACGATTGTCTATAAATGGAGATGGTATGCAATTAGTACTTCATTTAACATATTAGCAGACATGGTAGAACGATGCAGATTAGGATTAGAGTGTATTTATTGAGGAGCAGTAACAGTGCCACGATATGTTATATTCAAAACGG